CCGTCTCCCACACGGCACGTACAAAACCGCAGTCTGAGAATGGCAACGCAGGGAGCAAGCTGTGTACATTTTTAGCCAGGCAGTAGCTCTGATCCCAGCCTGCTATATTTCTACCATCTCCCTCACTGCACCTGCTCGTTTGCCTTATCCACCGGTTATGTCTGGTCACTTGCAAACTCTGGGGCAGGGACTGTCTTGAATACATTGTACAGCACCTAGCACGCTGGGGCCCACTCTGATGGAGGCCTTAAGACTTGTTCATAAGCAGAACATAAGTCAGAGTATTAGAACAGCCAGCAGAGGGGGGAATCACAGTTAAGGTCCCCAAATTCCTTAAGTTTAAATTAAGCAAGGGGCATTATGCATGCACATTACTCCCGAGGGAATTCTGTGTCACTGCGCTTGCGCAGAATTCATGGCCCCCACAGATTTCTTTGCTTCCCTGCAGAAAAATGACTTCTGACAGGGAAGTTGCAAGAGCAGTCATGTACCCTCCTCCCTGGCAGTACAGGCAGGTTGGTTTGGGCACCCAGAGCAGCTGGTAGAGATGTAAATCACCAGCGGGGGAGGGCTGGGCAGTCACGCACGCAAGACAGAGACACTCTGTCCCTCTTGCTTGCTATTGCGGCACACTTGGTGTGGAGGGGCAGGACTTTGGGGTGTTTGGGGTGATTAGAACTGGTTTCCATGAACTGTTTACTACTGACCTTTCTGGAGATGATCAGTAGCCAGTATAAATTGTGAGTTTGACTCCCCCAGCCCTCACTTGCTCTTCAGTTGCCTGTGATGTAACACTGAGCATATGGCTGCATATATTTGTTGACTAATAACTAGAAGTAAAGGGTCAATACTAGCTACATTACTATTAGACAAAGGGGGTTTGGGGATTTCCTCCAATGCTCCCCACTCCCATTCTCCATCCATTGTATGGTAGTTTAAATAAATTAGCAAAATAATTGAAACCAGCTTGATTATATTATGTTATTTTGACAAAATATGCAGAATTTTAAAATAGTGCGTAGAATTTTTTATTTTTTTGTGCAGAATTCCCGTAGGAGTAGCACATGTATTAAAAGCTGTTTTACAGGGAGATTGGAAAGAGCTGGAGGAAGGCTGGGTTTAGAGGGAAGGACACACAGAAAAGGCTTTTCACTGCAGGATTGGCAAAACTGGACAGGAGACCAGTGCTAGAGGAGGTGGGACTAAGCCACTCAGGGTCTGATTCTGATCTTGCCTCAAGTGTAGTCCTACAAGCTCTAAGTGGTCTGGGAGAAGAGGATTTTTTTTTTTTTTTAATTTTGAAACAAACCAGGTTTAAAAATGGAAGTTGTCAGGACAATGTGGGCAGTGAGGTGCTGCTGAAACTTAAAGGGGCCTGATTGCACCAAAAGAGCTGCATTCCAACTGCTGGGGTTTTCACCAGTCCTTTACCAGCAGAGTTTGAAATGGTTTGCTGGGGTAGACAAGACCGAGCAGAGCAGAGCCAGGCATCTGGGACCAAGTCCAGCTCTTAATAGGTGTGGCTGATTTTATACAGGTGAGGGAATATTGTTCTTTCTTGGAAAGCAACCAACTACTCTATTCTCTCTCTAAGTCACTAAACATTAAGAACAAGTTACTGTCTATTGAAAGGAATGTTATTAATTACGTTCTGTAGTAACTCCCTCTATCTTTCTACATAGGATTTGGAAAAGGATCCACTGTGGTCAGCCATGAAGGCCAATCCTGGCATGATTATTGTTTCAAGTGTACCAAGTGTGCCCGTCCTTTGGCTAACAGGCGCTTTGTCTATCATAATGAGCAAATTTACTGCGCTGACTGTCCCCATAGACTGTAAGGAGAAGCCTCGGCCTTTGCTGTACAATGGATTGGAGCCTTGCTCTTGTATTTGAGCTGCTTCAGAAAGGCCTGCTAAAGGCACTTGCATATTAAACCTGCCTTCTTCCATTTTACAGACTGGTTCAGACCTCCAGGCCCAGCATAGTGCAGCTTGTTTGATTTTAGATTTTAAGGTTCTGCAGTAACAAAACTTACTCAGCTGCAACACTAACTTTGCTTTCATGACCACCATTAACACAAGCTTGAGGTGCCAGAATTTTAGGTCCTTAAATATTGCCTCTTCTGCATGATGAGTAGCACACAGTAAAACAAAAGCTGATTTTGTAACTTAAGTTGAAGTTTGACGCTTAATGAAGTGGTTTTTGACAAGGAACAAACAAATCTCTGCACCCACTAAAACAAAACCCCCAAAACCATCAGTAAGGAGATGTAAAGATCACACCCAGGATCATAGACATGGTGCTTCGCAATTATACATTCATGAGTACTTTATATACAGACATTAAATGCCTTTGCTTATACTAGCATATAAAGCAAGTTACCGCAAGTATATGGTGTGGCTTTGTTCATAATGTTTTGCTATTGTGGTTTAGCTAGGGAGAATGCTAAAACAGATTGATGGCAGTTTTAACTTAAGGTTTAGTCCTGAGTTTAAATTGGCTTGTCAGAGGGTTTTGCTTACCCGCTTTTTTACTTTAATTATACTGTCTACACCTGGTTTACTAATTCACCACCTTCAAGAAGTTATTCTTTGAAGCATAACATACAATGAATGTATATGCATTTTTCAAACATGGTAGGAGAGCTCTCCTACCATGCCAACATGTTATTTTAAGACCTAATAAAAATTGGATTAATGCTTGTTTGGATTCATGAACTCTGGACGATTGTTTCTCTTCACTGGTTTTTGTAGGAAACAAATATCAAGGAGTGTGTATCAAAGTCATTAAGACGCCCCTACTCCCCATTACACTGCAAAACTGAACTTACCTGTTTTGAGGACCCCTCCTTCCCCCATTGCAGTTAACACTGAGTGCCAACACCTTCACTGCCAAGAGCGTATTTAAATGTACCTGTGGCCAACATAGAGTTACTGGAAAATTAACCTCAAATTGGTGTCTGTCCCTCTGAAATCCCTCTTCCAGATGTAATCGATTTTTAAATAAACGGAGCAGTCTGAGCAACGTTAAGCCATCTCAACTCCCTGAATTCCCATTGTTATTCAGGGGGATAGAAGGAGACGAACAAACACAAGGTTTTGAGGATGGGGAGATGGATTGAGCTGAGCAGTGCCTCAAACACACAGGGATGGGTATGACTATTCCCTCCTCTGCTGGAGTCCAAAAAGAATATTTTGTTGTTCTCTATGCTCTGCTACAGGACCTTATTCAAAGCTCAAACCATTGCCTTGTATTGAGCAGCGTAATCAGTATTAGCAGAGGCAAGGTAAACCGGAGCACAATTACAGTTTCTTCAGACCTCCAAAAACCATGGAAATTAGAGAGCCATTCTACGGCCCCTTTGATCTTTGAACAAAACGAAAGCCCTATGGACCTGAAATACTCAGTTTTTTGAAAATTTTTTCAATTTCACAGCAGCGATAAGGTTCACTGAACTTTATGACGAAAGACAAGCGTCACCTCAGAATTTACCAGATTAATGTAGAGGCCAGAATTTAACAGTCTAATAAAAAGAAAATATAAGCCGTGTTGCACTACAAAGTGACTCTAAACAATACTGAAGATGGGTTTTTGTGACAGGATTTATACTTGGAGAAAGGAAAGAGTGTCAAGTTTAACAGTGACAAGGTACAAATCTATCTTCTCCAAATCCTATTGTTTGGCACTTCATTAAAGGAAATGATTTATCCTCTTGGTAATTAAACTGGTGTTAATTTGTAAGATGCCATTATTCATCCAGGTAATGATCAATGGACCTCAGACATTCAGACTAGTAATAGTTTAGGGCAAGGGAGTTGCTGATAATCACTTACCTACGAGACTTCTAGTCTGTCAATGTTAGTTTCTACTTAAAATGGCAGAAAAACTTAATGGCAGGACTATCCCCTTGTATATTTTAATTCTACATTGCAGAAGAATAGCTCCAGCCACAAATACTGGAAGTCGCAAGAACCATGATTAAGTAAAAAACATTCAGTTCCAATAACTGCTTTTCCCTATCGATTCGTGTGAAAAAACACGCTTGAGTTGAGTGCATTAACAGGAAGCATGTGAAAGTATAATTAGCATTAGGGCATCACATCTTCCAACCCTCCTACAAACTAATAATTCTCAGACTGTTGGAGAAACTACAATGCTAATTGAAACTACGTCACTTTGGCAAGTTCTTTGCTTCTTCCTTATGGCAGTGGCCCCCAAACTTTACCTTGCGCCCCCCCTCACCTCCACCCCCACCCCACAGAGATAGGGCCGGGAGCAGGGCCATGGCTCGGAGGGAGGGGGAGGACACGAACAGGGGTAAGGGAATCGAGGCAGGGACCACAGCTGGGGGAGGGACCAGGAGTAGAGCCAAGGCCAGGCCCAGGAGTGGAGCTGAGTGGTGCTCTCTCCCCGGCCCCCGGAGGGGCTGGCCCAGGCCCCTGCTGCACCCTCCCACACTTTGGGGACTTCTGCCTTATGGAGTAGATACCAACTATAACTAATATACTAAAAAGTATAACAAGATGAAGACTGTAGATCTGATGCAATACAAGAGACATTTAACAAACCGAGGTTACTCAAACTACTGTGTGTGTGTGTATCTATCTATCTCACAGCCATTTGGAAAAGCAAGACGTATTGTCCAGTAATGTTCCCAGCAGTCACTGCTTTCCTGTACTGAGTATAAAGTGCTGCAAAAAAGGAAGTCAGAATGTAAGTCACTGGCTTCCATGAACTTATTCTTTGCTTTTTTAAGCATCAATTATTTTGTACATGTGCCTTTCCAGCACCTAGCACAAGAGGCCCACCAGGACTACCCAATACAAACACTCTAACCATTCACATTTTATTTTAATAGCAACACTTCATTTATGGAGTCTATTGTATATTAGAGTGGTTGTTTTGGTCAACATTTGACTGCATCTCCAGGCAAAGCAGTTGGGGAAAAGTTTTGAGAGCCCTAGTAACCTAATGTTCAGTACTGCAAAAACCAACACATTGTTCAACTGCAAAGTTTATTTAACAGTGCACACATATTTACATACAGCTGTAACAGAGCATTCGACAAATAACATCTGCACAGAAAAAAAATATCAGCATCTTGTTTGTTAGAATGATTGTCTCTGCCAGAAACAGCTATTATACAAAAATACATTTTTCTTTTTACCTAAGGCACTGCTCTAAGTCTAAAACAGTTCTACGATACTTGGAATAGCAAAGGGTTGAGAAAGAAGGAAGGATGAGGGTTTCCTGTTTTAACCGTGGTGTCAAGAAAGGAACACATTTAGATCCAGCAAGAACGTTTGCATTTTAACACTGAAAACGCAGCTGCCATTCAGATGATTAATTGGTACTGAAGTGTCAGCTAAGGATTTAAGCAGGGTTTGAGAAAGCAATTCTTTAAAGAAATTATCCCGTATCTCTTACAAAGGCATACGAACAGGACTGCACTTACACTTTTTTGTAGCAGCCCTTTGCAAAAGATACTCAGTTAATCTCTTCATGCTGTAAAAAGCAAGTCACTGTAGATTAAATTACTTAATGCAGCCTTTAGGAAAGGGAATACATATGCTATTTGCAGTCATTGTTATAAAGCTAGCACAGGAACATGTAGAATAATTAACATGAACAAAAACCAGGACTTGAATGGCCTAATACTGTTATGTACACAACATAATACTTACATGAGTGTAGATAAACTTAAATATGTAATTCAAATGAAAACATTTTAAAAAGCATGACAAATGTTAAACTGCACTATAACAAACACGTTTAGGTACTCAACATTTTCGCAGTGTATATTAGTGCATACATACTCGTGTATATTGTAAAATTTTAGGACGTTCCAGTAACATTAAAATGTATGAATGATTGTACAATACTGTATTTTGAAGCTACTAATATTTTCATATTAGAAATAATCCAAAACAGTTTCTTAACCCAGTGTTGGATCAAAGAGATAACTGACCAATTTAGCTTTTCTTAAATATCCTATTAGTATCACCAACTGTACAGAGATGTTACAGGAAAACAACAGATGGGATTTGGTTTTGATATGCATGGAATGCATAATTTTTATTTTAAATTTGCAAACTGCCACTTCAACATGCAAAAATATTTGTCAGTGGCCAGCTGGTAAATTTCCAATGGCACACAGGGACTGTACATCACACTAATATGAAAATAAAAGGACCCGGAGACAGGTTAGCGGAGATTTTGTAAAAGGAGAGCAAGTGATATTTAACAAGGAAAGCTTGTCACACAGTCCGCTAAACAAATGGAAAAGGAACAGCAGCAAGGAAGGCTCCCTGAAAGTTTTCAAGGTGCAAATTTAGAAGTTTATTATCCCTTCCCTGCTGGTCTTTTTTGCAAGCTTGAAGACAGGTAAAGGTTAACAAGCAGCTTTTCAAAACAAGGCCTTCGGTACTTGATAAAACACTGGATTACTGAAGTGCAATCAGGTTATTTCCAGGACTCTAGTGTTCACAGTTCTGTCCAAAGAGCAAAGAAGAGGTGGTTAATGTTCTCATGCTGTGCAATATGTACTGCATACAAGACGCCAAGTACATCTAAGTATGTAAATATATTAGTTTGTAAAATTATGTACATACCTGCTACATCACACTACCTCAAAACATATGTAGCTGAACAAGGCCCAAAGCCCAGCCCAGAGACTATGGTTTCTCTAACTAAATATACTCGTCTTCTGTTTAACTGCTTTTGTTATTAACAGGCTCAAAATACAGTCATTCTATTTAGACTAACTTTCAAAATGCAGTAAGAATCTGGGGTGAACATTTCAACCCTCACTGGTGTCTATGGAAGGAGGTGTGAAAGCACCCAAGCCTGAAGTCCTCCTATTACCCCCAGAAGCAATATAGCACTGCCACTGTGTACCTAGCTACTGTATCTGAACTCCAATCTGGAAGGACCATAGCACGAGCAAGCCCTTCACTCCATTTCCATGGCCCAGTCACAATCTTTGGCCTTTCACCTAAGTGGTAACAAGGGTGCACACTGCAATGGCATATATGGGACAAGTACATGAAACACACACACAAACACGGACATCTATCCTCTGGGAACTGGACAGAGCAGACAGCTGTCAGGAGTTTGAAATGCTCTAATTTATGTCATGTCTGAAGAGATGACTCAGGTAGTGTAACCATCCCATTTCCACTACACAGCTTCTCCATTTAGAACACCTGTCCACATGAGTCCTTGTCATGTGGGTGGAGATCTCTTGTTAGGAGCACGTTTTTGAACTGGTGTGTTGGAGATCCTAACTTCCAATGTAAAAAATAAAAAATAAAAGTCAGTCCTATACCAGCTAGTTTCACTCAAGTCTCTGACCCACCACCATAGTGATCAGTCATGGACATGGATAACTACAAATGATTTGTGATGAGACAACAACTTTTGGAGGATTCCCACTATTAGACTGGTAATTCTTCTCTCCCTCACACTTCACACTCAGGCCTGCCAGCTTGATGTCTGTAGACTCTTGTTTGGTTTTTGTAAACCTGCTTGTGCAATTAAGATTTTTGTTTCAATAACCTCAGAAGTTTTGCTCGGGATGAAACACTGGTTTTGATATACTGTTCTCTGCATTACAGATCTCGAACCAACTGCTTTTAAAAATTAATGCATTCTGTACTGAGTTTACCAGGAAGAAATCACAGTTCCTTTCCAGCAAAGCACAATACAGTTAACACTTCCTCCCTAATGCTTATTGTCTAGCGTTTAGAGGGGAGGACTGGGAGTCAGGACTCTTGGGTTCTTTTCCTACCTCTGTCACTAATTCACAGTGTGACCACGGGCAACTCTCAACTTCTGTCCACTCATCTGTAAAATCAGTACAATGTCTACCTCAGAGGTGTACGAGGCTATTCTTAAATGAAATGCATCAAGTGCACAATATTAATTAAATAATCATTTGCTCTAGAAGAAAACATGTTATTCATTTTATCCCCATATTAATGGAACATCTTTCATTCAGCACTAGCACCAACAGTATGCCTATTGTCATGTCTAGTCAAGCTCACACAGCTTGCACAGCTTCAAGCTCGCACAGTCAACTTGTGGAACTCCTTGCCTGAGGAGGTTGTGAAGGCTAGGACTATAACAGCGTTTAAAAGAGAACTAGATACATTCATGGAGGTTAAGTCCGTTAATGGCTCTTAGCCAGGATGGGTAAGGAATGGTGTCCCTAGCCTCTGTTTGTCAGAGGGTGGAGATGGATGGCAGGAGAGAGATCACTTGATCATTACCTGTTAGGTTCACTCCCTCTGGGGCACCTGGCATTGGCCACTCTTGGTAGACAGGATACTGGGTTAGATGGACCTTTGGACTGACCCAGTACGGCTGTTCTTATGTTCTCACACAACATGAAGAATTAATATTATTATTTTACAGTAAAAAACAGGTGTCAAGTGGAAGATTGTTCTGCCACAAGTGCCGAGTAGCTAAAAGCCCTACAGCCTTAGAAGAGGTAATTTTAAGACTCAGAACAGCTCAGCCCTAGCAAAATGCAAGAATATACTTCAGTGGAAGGGCTTAAGTCAGAGAGGTCTAGCTCATGAAGGGTTTTAATAGCAACCAGCAACATTTCAAAAATTATACTTTAAAAAAAAAAAATCACAGTAACCATTTAAGAGATTTAAGAACAAAAACAAAAACCAAACCAAACCAAAACAAAACTAGAAAAGTTTTAATCCTAGGGAGAGGTACAGAGGCTTCATAGTGATTGAGCTGGACTTTGGGAAGAGCACTCAGTGGTTGTGTTAACTAGCTGTAGTAGTTAAGTCCCTTCAAAAGTCATCGACTAGTTACTCCTCTGACAAAAGGAAAACAACAAGCACAACAGTAAGAGCCTGTTGCTAGTTTAGAGAAAATGAGCGATTCTCAAAAAAAAAAGGCACAAATATACAGTAAATATTTAACAAAGCTACCTTAATTTACC